GTGAGTTTTGGCAGCTATTTTGTTCAGCTTTGTGCAGAACTTGACCACCCAATGTTGTTCAAAAGTATCCGCCATCGTGTGCCGTGACGTGGTCACAAAACACAGGTGCACTAAATCAGCGATACTGACGCCTCTGATGTTCGAGCAGACTGACCTTGGGCGTGCTGTGAAGCTAAAGGCCTCCCCCCCCAACCCAACCGGTTCCAGCGCGCTCCGACCAGTAGGAGCGCGGGAAAGAAATATATTTCATGACTTTTGGGACACACCTTGTACATTGTTCAATGTGGAATTTGTATGTAACTGCAAGCTAGCAGCATGAATTAATTTGCACAGACTTCAGTGGAATACCTCTCCAATATGACTGACATTTTCTTCAGAGGTCTGTGTCTTTCCATTTTACATGCAACAGACTACCTGCAGTTCTCAGTTTGTTGTCCCAAAACTGAATGCTTTTCCGTGTATGAGGTTGACATCCATATTGCGTTCTAAAATGATGCCGGACAGCCATAAGAGACTGCGTCTCTGCTAGCCACAACATGCATTGAACCTGTTCCTGTGGTGTCGACATCATTACTGACTTCACCAAAGGTCACCAGCTGATGCATGCACATAAGTTGGACATGGAAAAAAAACTTTCAGAGTTCTCTGATGACATAAACCGGATACGTATATGACAATTAGTTTCTGAGATATACACTTTATTTTGGATACCTTTCATCCAGACACCTGTATATAGCAATATTTCCCAATTTAGTAATCAATATAAACTACTGAAGAGTTCCATACGTAGTTTGGTGAAAGTCAGTTGACTTCACAGCTTTCACTTAACTACGAGGGAAAGTCAGAAATTATCCACACTTTCGCCACAACACATCTTATGTTTGTCACACTGCCTTCTGCACATGCATGCTTAGAGCTGGTACTATGGTGGTCACGTGATCGAAGTTTGATCTTGATCACATCATTTTCCTTGATGCTGTGACAGTGTAAACATGGCCACTCCACTAGCAGTGTGCACAAAGGATTAACAAACGATAGTGATCCAGTTTCTCTGGTTGGAAGGTGTGTCAGGGCCTGAAATTCATCGGTGGGTCAATCACTATGAGCCAGAACCCAAAAGCCAGAGTATGGCGTGGAAATACCCGGGATTGCCAATGAAGAAGAAATTCAAGACTCAATCTTCTGCAGGAAAGGAGACACTAACCGTTTTTTGTGACTCAAAAGGGCCTATACTAGAAGACTACCTTGAAAAATGGTGTACAGTCAACAGTGCAAGATACAGTTGCTGGCCAATAATCTGAAGCCAGCAATTTGCACCAAATGCCGAGGCCTATTGTCTAAGAAAGTGTTGTTGTTGCATGACAATGCATGCCCACACATGACCGGCCAGGCTGTTGAAACCATTAACCATTTGGGTTTCGAGGTGCTGGAACATTCTGCCTACAGCCAAGATCTCATCCCTTCCGGTGCATAAATGGTTGCACAACCAACCAAAAACCTTCTTCTTGGAGGGAATACGCAAGCTTGTGGACCGCTGGACCAAGTGCATCGAAAAGGAACGAGACTATGTAGAAAAAATGATGTACTTGTTCAACCCCTACTTTTGTGTATATAAACTGGAAAAACAAGAGTGCGGATAATTTTTTACTTCCCTATGTATATGGCTTTAAACCCCAACTCCACATAACCACTGCTGTGAGAACTTCAAATTCTACAATAAAAATTACCATTTATTTACTTCTAGTAGCTTATTCATTACATGATTATCATAATTTTGCATAGATGTAGTAAGTGCTTATTTTCTTCATAAAATTGGGAACAAAGCAACAACATGCAAATAGTGGCCTCCGTAGTCTAAAGGTAACGTTCCCACCTCATGACTTGTGGTACGCGGGTTCAAACCCGGCGGAGGTCATGGAATTTTTAAGGGCGGAAAAACTCAGGGAACAAGTCCTCCGGGAGGGACTTTGAGCCATGGGTCCCGTGTCGTAGCTTTATGGCACGTAAAAGAACCTCATATCTCCAAAGGAGGTCACTGAGCCAAATTCAAGGACGTTTCCCGCCCAACAGTAGTCTCTAACCCCTCTGATAGATGGGGGAAGCATTATAGATACCGCCAAGCCAGTAGAGGCCGAACTCGCTGGCTCGGTCGGGACTGATGGTACGCACCAATATTGGTAGGGTATAGAGACTGGTAGAATATCATAGAGGGAAGCACAATGGACCAATACGGTCTAAGTGCATGGGGAAACCCACCCTCTCCAATAACTAACTAACTAACAACATGCAAATACTAATACTCCATTCTGTTACAATATACAGATCTACTGTTGCAAGACTAGTCACGAAAGACGTAATATGCCCTTAAATATCAGTTATATAAAAAAATGTTCCAATAAGACTACTGAATCTTAATTAGAAATTACATTTTATGTCATGAATTAGTATTTTCCTACAATACATAATTTTCAAGAATTTTGAAGACTTTCAGTTTGGGTTTTCATGTAAAGTAAAGGACTATACATCTGACAATCACCTGACATTCCTGTGAAGGCATAGACAGAGGCATGCATCTCCTCTCCCTCGTGAGATTTTGTGGGGGGAATCAAAATACAAAAAGGAGGAAATACACTGATTATTAATACCAAAACTTAAAATTACTTTTTTTTTTGCCCTGAATACCGTAAGATAATCAGTAAAAATAGTCGTTAACTTAAATATAAGCTTTCGGTCAAATTTTCTGGCTTCCTCCACTTGAAAAAATCCTGGCAATGGCTGTGCATGACAGCAACTATTAACATTACTGTCTTCTGAAATATGACCCCACATAGTTTGGTACATCAGTATGGACGTTTCAGAGGAATGTGCTGCCTCTATCTTCAGGGTCAAGTATTATCTTTCTCCTTTGAAGTTGGTGACAGAAGGTTCTCTGAAATACTGATACCTATCTACCAAACTACACCACGTCACATCCCCTTCTCTTCACCTACATTTGCTGGATTATATGTAAGTTGGTGGGACTGACGATGGGGTGAGTAGAAACTGTTCATTTGATGTCACCTTCAGAAGTGTGCAGTGGGAGGGCAATCACTTCTGCAAAGGGAGAAGTCTGTGGCAAGCTTAGCATAGCTAACCAAGCTATGACAATTTGTAACAGGCAGCAAGTGATTCAAGCAGGCACAGCTATGTCATGGCACTTAGATTTATATTGACAGACTTACTGAAGAAGAGGGACAAGTATTCCTGTGTCCAGCACATAATCTCTGCATTCTGGAGAGTCACCTGCAATGTTGCCTAGAGCCCAAATTGCTTGTTCTTTCACAGGTCCATATTCCGATGTCAGGAGCTGGATGAATATTGGAACAGCACCAGCTTCAATTACAGTGCGAGTCTGCATTGAAGTACCTGATGCTATGTTGGTTAAAACGCATGCTGCTTCAAACTGAAAGAATAGCAACAGTAACAGTCACTAAAATACTGCTCCCTAACAAGGAGTATGAATTTAATGGAAGGACATCTGAGGTGAACAGTATTATATATTAGCATCTAAAATGTTCAAATTATTCATGTAATAAAACATCATTAAGTATAGCCATAAGGCTTACAGGCAGTTATTGTAGATTCTGAGAACTACTTATACTTGCAATTTTAGAAACCAATAATGAATCTGATAAATGGTTTTAGACCATAATATATGTCGTGTAGTGTGGCGAATGTCAAGTGACATTTCAGAGTAATACAAATTGCAACCTTCGCAGATGACACAGCCCTGCTAGCAGCAAATACAAGGTTCAGTAGTAACATCACAACATCTTCAACATCACTTAAACCTCCTCCAGCAATGGTACAGCAAATGGAAAATCAAAATAAACCACAGAAAATTAGTGGATGTTGCATTCACCATGAAATGTATAACTTGCCCACAGGTTACCATCAATAATATGAAAATACCAGTCCAAACTGAAGTAAAATACTTGGGATTATACCTCAACCAAAACCTGACATGGCAGAAATCCATCAGAAGTTAAACTTAAAACTATGAGAAAGGTCCGGGCTTTTGGACCATAAATGCAAACTATCCACAGAAAACAACCTTATACTATGCAAGTGCATAATAAAACACATATGGACATATGGTATACAGCTATGGGACTGTACAAAACCATCACACATGAAAATAATTCAAAGACTTCAATCCAAATTCTTGCACTCAGAAACTAAAGAACCTTGGTATGTCTCCAACTTTACTATCCACAATGATCTGCAAATCCCAATTATCATAGAATAAATACATAGATTGTCAACACTCTCCCATCAAAGCATACTCGGACACATTAACAGACTAGTTGCAGAAATCAGAAATCCAGCAAACGTAAAGACTGAGGAGACAGTGGCCGTCTGACCTACCACAACCCACAGATGATGAAGATTAAAACCATTACCAATCCTCTGCAGGGCCTGTCAGAGTATCATCAGTGGATGACTTCTCTACTCAAGACATTTACTTAGAACAAATTTACTTATTACTCCATATTATTGAGAGTAGATTGTAAATATGCTATTAATTAAATAAATAGATAAAATAAATCCATCTCTATCTCTGAAGCATGTTGTTTTAATTCTTACCTGAAATTTACAGTTGGTATTGTTCTAAAGAAATTCTACAAAACGTGGCACAATTCCAGTCCGAATAACTTAATCTATAGGAGGATTTGGTTCACGGCACAAGAGTTCTCGAAATTTCTGTGTGGCAGTCAGCTGATCTTCCACACTACTGCTATAGAGAGCCTATACCATGCCTGGTGTGATACTTGGTGCACTGATGAGAGACAAGATATCTTCCTAGAAATCAAAGCACAGAACACAGTTTTGGGTTTTCCTTATATATGAAGTCACATCACCTATGTAATCTAGTACTTAAGAAACCCATAAAATATCACAAATAGTAATGCTATTATTAAATTTATGGAGCACAGTCTACCCTGAGATGCTGACAGTAGCTCAGTCAAAACATAATATTGTCACATGTTGGGTATGTCACGTGGCAAATAACTTAACGCCGTATTGAATGTAGCAAATTTATGCCACATTCGTTTGTACACTTATACAATTCACAATTACATCCACTGCTGGAGTCACTGCCATTCAACTCACTCTGGCGAATGCTAGACTGCAACTGACTTGCTTGGGCATTCCAGGTCCCTTATAAACCTTCAGTCAGACAGCGGAAAACCCACATCGCTTCACTGTTGCATAAACGCCGTGTTTACAGGCGTTGCTGGAGAATGCTGCCAAGAGTTGTTTATTGCTGCATAGCAACCGCGATGTCTGCTGTTATGTCACGGTGGGAAGGGGTTGTTTACTGAGCGTTTCATAATGATGGAAGGAGTGGGGATATGTGACGTCACTTGCAAGACTGTAGAGTTCATTTGACCCCTACTTCCTGTTGCGCCATTCATGTCACAATATTTTTTTTTCAGATCAAGTTTAATATTAACCTACGATTTATACCAAGTTTTCCCTTCAGGACTCTTGACTAGAATTTTATATATATTTCTCATTTCTCCCATGCATACCACAGGTCTCAGTGTAATCAAAATCATAAGTAATTTTCCAAGCTGTGTCCGCCACTTCTGCATACAGTACAGTTACTGTTTTGCAAAATATGAGGACTAAGTCATGTGAAAAATTCTTAATATTCATACATATCATGAATGCATCAACTTTATAACAGCATGGATTTAATATCTACCTCCTGTGTTATATAANCTCGTATAATCCTTAAAAATTTTATCATATGCATAAAAGCTGCAAGGAA